TCGTTTTTTGATGGGCAGAGATCTGCCGCTTTGGTTGAAGAGCCTGAAGGGCGTGACCTCTGATGTGAATGATATGAGCCAAGATATTTCGTTCGTGACTGGGTTGGGCCCAAGGCGGGACGGTCGAGCAAGGACAGGCTTCTGTCCTGTCTGTGCGAAGACCTCATCTTCAACGAGTGTGGCTGGGTCCAGGACGTCCCCGCCAATGCTGTGTAGTTTTGTTGGGCATCGCGGCACAACGTATGTGTGCCACTTGATAGGCGTCTCGACTTGGTGGGCGCCGAGGCATTCCGCCAGCTTTGCCTTACTTGTAAGTAGTCTTTCCTGTATTTGCTTGTTTCGCGGCTTCAGAGAGTAACCTGTGCTGATATGGTAGACGTGGGGAAGGTCCGCTAGCCCCAGGCCAACGGCCTTACAGACGATCTGTCGTACGGCGAACGGTGCGATCTTCCGAGCGGCCGCTAAGCTTTCTTCCGGGACGCGGGCAAAGATGCGGAGGTCCTCCTTCGGCTGCGCCTGCGGCTGATCCTCGGCGGGGAGTGTGGCCTTCGGGCGGGCAGAGCTCTGGCAGCTCTGGCCGCTCCGGGTCGCCGCAGTGGTGTTGCCCGCCATCGGTGCGACGACAGCCGCCCAACTCCGGGCCGCTATTGGGCTTGTCTCGTGATTGATCAGTCTCTTGAGGGTTTGAATGACATAGGCAGTGGCTTCTTTCGCGATCTGCTTTCTAGAACCGTCAAAGCTGGCGACAACGCTGTCGACGGACCGTGCAATGGTCAGAAAGACGTCTTTCCGTGCCTCGTACTGTCTAGCTTCTTCTGCAAGGGCTGTCAAGACGGACCCTGTGGCAGATCCGCTCGGAGCAGATGCGGTAGAGGCTGCGGGCCCCTCGGCCGAGGTAGGGGCGTCGGTGGTGGCATCAAGCTGGCTTCCCGTTAGGCTGGGCCGGGTCGGCTGTGCCTCGGCGTCGCGGCGTCGCTTAGCTCTTGAGGTGGGGTTCGGCTCCGGAGGTGTCCCGGAGCCTGGTTCGGGGTCGGCTTGGTCGGCCGACATCAGTCCGGTGCCCGACGGCGGCTGTGAGGCCATCGCGGATGCGGGCTCCGGCAAGGGGAGGTGAAGAGTTTTCGGCTGTTAGTAATTTGGTGGTAGGCTCACTCATTCACTAACAGCAGATGCCAAGAAAAATTAGGCGAGAGGGAAGTTGTTTGGTTCTCGTTAAGGACAACACCTTCAGGCGGTGACCCGAAAGCAGCTTTGATGAGGGGATCTAGAGCCATGATAACCCATCAATATGTCTGGAGAACCAGAGGTACACTCCTCAGGGGGAGAGTGCAAGAGCACTTTATTATTAAAGCGGAAAACGAAGGGTGAAATGAAAAGCGACTTCACACAGGTTTCACGGGAATTGAGCCGTTGGAAGTCAGCCCTTGGAAGAAGCTAAAGCCCTAGTAAAGTGCCTCGTATTTGAACATGGGCATGCTTGTAGATTACAGTTACCATGGTCCGCGGATAGACTGACCCCTGAGCCATTCCTATTTCCCTCCCCTTGTAGATCAATGATCATGGGCTCTAGTATTCAGTAGATAGGATCAGTCGATCCCCAGTGTTTCGCTTTGGGGAAAATCCCGCGAAAGGAAAGTGAATCGTCGCAATTCCGCCATCCAGTTCGACCAACATAAACCAGCGGAGAACCATCATAGGCTGGGCTGGACGCTACCTGCAACGGAGGGCTTTACTTAAGAGGCACATGTGGATCCAAACCAACGGGACTTTCGTGGTCAATCCAAGCAATTTGTTGTACCAACGTCGCGCAGTGGAGAAAAGCCGTCGGCTACACGCAACTGCAGGCATCATTTGAGTCGCAGACGTGGGTCCAAACCAACAAGAGCTTGGTCAGAGTCCCAACCAACAATGTGTACCTAAATGATAACAAACGATGTTTGTCTGCTCATTCACCTGGACCCTGGAAGTCATATCAGAACTACCTGGGTGGAACTATGCAGGGGTTACTTGGCTTGGTAGTGGGTTTGCAAAGGTCCTCTGCCACCCGGACAAACATTTATAATAGTCCAGGGCCGTCTTAATCATTGCTTTATGTCGAGCCTTCACAAGAAATATCACATATCCTGGGCTAAAAGATTGCCGGTGTCTAACGAAAACACGACCGAACGTTCTCGAAGCGATGGGGTCTGTTGCAAATACACACATCCCCTCGGGAATTCCGCAACTCACCCCTCTCGAGCAGATCAGCCCTAGAGGGTGGGTGCGCTATCTTTTTTCCTTCAAACTTTCGAAGAACTACGATCCTGAAGCTACTGCCAAGATTCTTCGTCAGAGTCTCCTGGCTACCAAGGAGCGTTTTCCAACGTTGGCTTGCGAGGCTTTGCCGGACCCTGAAGCCAGACAAGCCAACGCTATCAAACTCCAAGCAATTACCGACAACGAGATTGAGCCCGTCATCATCAATGATCTACGTCATTCGGAAGTCTTCAAAGCTTCCTTTGAAGAGCTTGAGGCCAAGCACTTCCCGGTTTCCAGCTTCCCAGCTGAAACGTTCACCCGCTGCGGTATTTGGCCTGCCTCAGGACAACGCATACCTATCACCACCGTACAAGCTAACTTCATCCGCGGCGGCTTGATTCTCAACTCGAACCTGTTTCACCTCGTGGGTGATGGGCAAGCATTCTACAACTGGATTCGAGTGTGGGCCGAGGAAACTCGCCGGGCTCAAGGTCTCGAGGTCTCGTACCCGATTCGCTATGATGACCACATCTACATGGACCGTCAAATTGCGCAATACATCCCTCAGGCACTTCCAAGAAACATGGCTGGACGTCTCGAAGATCATCCCGAGTACACCATCGTCACCGACCCTGCGAATCAGCTGGCCAAGATTGCGACAACGGATGGCCATATCGGACAAATCTTCTATCTATCCCCAGAGTCATTGAAGGGGTTGAAGAAGGACGCCCAGCCTCAAACTGACGACGGGTCCTATGTATCGACCAACGACGCCCTCTCGGCTTTGATCTGGCGGAGCATAATGGCAGCACAGTTTGACGCCGCCCAGCTGGACGGCAGCGAGAGATCTGTCTTCAACATTGCCATCGACGGCCGAAGACGAAGTCAACCATCGATCCACCCGGAAGCCATGGGGAGTTTCCTCGGCTTCATCCAGGTAGAGCTCCCCATTAAGGAGATTCTCGAGAACGACAACCTTGCAGCCTTGTCTTTGCTGATCCGCAGAGCCATCATTACAATGGATACGAAGTTCAGCGGTTCCTTCATCAATGATGTCATTCAGCTTGTGAACAACCAGAATGATCTTGGTGCATTGATCCCAACATCGTTCTTGGATGTACCTGGCCAGAACTGCGCACAAACGTCTTGGGAAAAGTTCAAGATGTATGATCTAGACTGGGGCCACGCTTTGGGAGGTAAAATTGCGGCTATTCGCTCACCTAGCTGCGGTATTTTGAATGGCATGCAGATTATGTACCCCCAACATCCTGATGGAGGGCGTGAGATGTTGGTTGGTATCTACGAAAGTTGCTTAGAGAAGCTTTGCAATGACCCGACTTGGACTAAATATGCAAAGCGTCGGTAGGAACATATTGATGTCATTGGTAGCCGGTTCTTGCTCGTAATCAAGTAACAACTCGCGGGAAAGGGGAATAACTCGGAGAATTGGGGAAACAAAAAAAAATCTCGGTCTTTGTATTTTCTAAGCTTTCGACGAACACCATCTTAAGTGACACGGATGTTCTCGTATCAAGCAGCCCAAGACATGAACATTGCATTTTGTAAGATAGAAATACCCACATTGCCTTCTTACATGTCTTCAAGTCCAATTCGTAATGGACGGAGAATCCTGCGGCAGGCCATAGACAGCCTGGCAACGTATGAAGCAAGTACATACCGACCTTTGATTTCACGTTAGTAGCCAAAGCAGAAGCTTGATATTGAACTGAGAAAACTAGAAAAACGATCTCCGCCCCACGTCGACCAGACATAGGTTCTCCCACACGCAGCATCCGAGCTTTGATCTCGAGGTTTGACGATTATCTATTCGCATATATATATTCAGATCCCGCAGAGGGGTCTTTCCTTGGATCATATCTAGGCAGGCCTTCGACTAGAATCATACTGAGCTTCTCGATAAGATAGAGCATATTGTTCAAGGCACTGTATCTCATGACCATTGGTCCGTCATCAGATCCAAGTGTTCTGGAAGCGTGAGCATTAGACTTACGTATTCCTATTCTTCTCACTTGGCGTACCAGCAGAAGCGTTCAGATCAAATTTGATGCTGTAAAGCCTGTTCCGATCGTCGAATCCCGCTTGTGGTTCAGAGGGTGGAAAGATTTGCTTGTATTCGTCCAGGTATTGCTGACCAAGATTCTGTGAACCATAGCGTCGCCACATTCCGAGGTCTAATTCATTGTGCCCGTAGAAACAACCGACATCGAGGAACATGATTTCATCAGTATCTTTGTCTGTCCCAATGTTGCCTGCCCAAAGATCGCCATGAAGGAGACGGGGCTTAATGGGATTCAGTCCCGTTTGCAGCGGATCCAACAAGCCTGGCACAACACACTTCAGGAGATAATCGGCGGCTCTAGTTAACTCTAGCCAGGTTCCGTTGGCAGCAGCATCTGTCTCAACAGACTTCTAAACGATTCGAGTAAAATAAACCCTCTAACTAGATTCCTAAGTATTATTTAGAGGCGATTTAAGTAGAATCGGCTATATAAACTATAAAATATAATCCGAGCTTTAAAATAATATTAGTTAGAGTTAGGTTGGCGCTATAATTAGTTAGTATTTTTTATTAACTAGAGACTCGGGGTTAGGGTTATATAGGTAGTTACTAGGGTTAAGCTATAAAAAAGGGGTACTAATAAAGTAATTAAAAAATAATAAATAAAAAGATTATTTTATATAGCTTATTTATTATTAAAGAATAAAAAACGGTATTAAATTACTATAAATAGCTTCGTCGAGATTAACGAAAAGCATTGTATATTTATTTATTAAAAATATAAAGTAGCTATTTAACTTAATAGTAGTATTAAATTATACTTCTACTACGAGTATTAACTAAAAAGAAAGGTTTTTAAAAATATTAAAGACTACTATAGCTACTTAGATCTAATTAATTTAAAAGTTAATATTTTATTTAGTAATAATAGCTCGGCTATTAAATAGCTTAATGTTTTACGAGGGTATAATTACTTTATATATTACTATTTTATTACGATAAGAAATAATATTATATACTATTAATAGGAGGCTAGGTATATAGTAACTAGGCCGAAGTTAATAAAGGTCTAGTTATAAATATAAATACGTAGGAAGTATATATAATACTAAATTATTAGTAACGATAAAACCGAGGTAAAACCCGGTTTAGCTAATAATAATAAAAAAGATATTATAGAGCTAATAATAGCTTAGTATATAGCCGAACTCGACGCCAAGAATACTAAGCGGCTAAGAATAGGGGATTTAAAAAAAAATATAAACCGGGACTCGTTATAAATAAAAAGGCTATAATAAATTAAATATTTTAGGTTTTATAATCTTTTTAAGATTTACGACGCTATTAAATAAATATAGGCTAAAAGTATAGTATTAGAATAAAGCTAAGAACGGGATAAAGAGGTTACGTAGAAGCGATTAGTTTTATTTTATTTTAGGGAGAGCTTCGATTATAAAATAAAATAGTATAGTTAATAACTAAATAGTATACTAATTAAAACGCTTTAATAGCTTATTAATATTATAAATACTAGCCTTAGCGGGATATTATTCGGGCTTAAAAGTAAAGAGGCGTCTATAATTAAATATTAGTTAATAAGGTATCGGTATCTAAGCTTTTATTAATAAATATACTAAATTAAAAAAGACGAAGCGCTAAAGCGTTAAACTATTTACTTTATAAATAAATAATAAAGCTTACTATATAACGTAATAGCCGAGCTAAATAAAAGTAATATCACTAATAGCTATAATAGCGGGTTCTATAGTAATTAAAATAATAATAATAATAAAAAAAAAATCAAAAGTATCCGTTCCTAGGGCAACGATAAGATATTTAACTAGGCCGTATTTTCGTTTTTTATCGCTTTAATTAAAACCTAAGTCGGTAAGTAAATATACTTTAACTCGCTACTATACTTCTATACAGCGTTAAAGATCTAAACCCGCCTAGTTAGGTATATAGAGCCGTACTTATATATAAATATATTAATAGCTATTTTATAATAATTCCGGCTCTTTTTTTTAAAAGCCGCGTTTAAGGGCTAGCCCTGGGACTAAAATAAAGTCGGGATCTAAATAATATTTATATTCCGGGACTAATACGCCGCTTAAATATATATAAATATATATATAGTTATTAATATAATAATTAAATAAATAGCGCTAAATAAAAGCTAATAATTATAAATAGGCGGATAGCTATTAATATATTAAACGGACGACGGTAAGTTACTATTTTATAATAATAAGCGTATCGTCGTCTAGGACTTTATATAAGCGCTCTAGGACTAGGTCGTTAATATATAAAAGCTAATCGGTTTATTATATAGGGGGGACTAGGAAACGATTAAAATATAGATTAAGCTAGGACGGATTATTAATAATATAATACAGCTCGGGGCAGGATAGTCGTTTATAACGAAGCTAAAGAATAGCTAACTAGAACCCGGACTAGGGGTTATAATAAAGTAATTAAAAGCGTTAATATAGGACTTTAAAAAGTAATAATTTAAATATAAGGGGGTATAATAGTAGCTCCGGCGGCTAAAAATATTCTAAAAAGTATTTATAATACTCGTTTATATATAGGGTAGGTTACTTAGCCGAGGGCCCGAAGTAGCGACGTTATAATACTATAATTTATAATAACTTATTTATAATATTTTCGTATTTAATAGGTAAATAATAATCGTAACGGACCGAGATAAAATAAAGATAATTTAAGATAATTTATATAAAATAGCGTAGTT